CTTCTGAGGCATTGCATTACATTATGTCTTCTCTCTCTGTGTATTCTGCATTTTTCTTCTTCTTCTTCTCTTCTTTTTCTTTGTCTTCTGCTTCAGAAATGGCGAAAGAAAAAAAAAAATGTCGTTTTGGTTTTCGAGTTACGAATCGGAACTGAGTTTCTAAACCCTATCAAATAGAGAGTTTCGAAACCCTAACACAATAAAATAATATCACAAATGTGAATGAAACTAATCAAAAAGAAAAACATGAATAACGGTAAATAACAAAATAGAGGTAATAACAAAATGAAAATACGTATATTCTTTTTTTATGTAATACATATCGATAATAGGTATAAGAGAATAATAATCCAACATAAATCAAGAAAAAATATAAATGTAAATATATGAGACTAGTTAGGTTATAATTTTCCTTGGTAATTAGAAAGTTGATATAATTTAAAATAGGTTAAAAGTTAACTAAGAATAGGTTAAAAGCCATCTTCCTAGAGGTCTTTATTTGGCGTGTACTAAGATAACACATGCTATTTTATTTTAATACATTATTTTATTTGAGCTACAACCATCTTATTTTAGTTATATCATCTTTTTACCACATCATTTCAAATTCAATCCATATTTCACGTTCTTTATAAAAAAAAATTAAAAAATTTACTAATCTAAGCACTTCTCAAACAAATCTTTAGTCAATTTATTAACTCTGTTTTTTTACATGTTTCTTTGTAAAAATTTAAAAAAATACCAAAATTTTAGAGTGCCTTTGGTTTGTGTTTTGAAATAATTTTTTTTAAAAATAATTTGAGGAAAGAGTTTAGAAATTTTTTTGAATTATTTAGTTGCATATTTTAAAAATAGTTTAGGAGTTTGGGATAATTTGATATTTTATTGTAGTTGAGTAAATATGTGTCAAAGAAAAAATGATTGAGAATGATAGAGGAGAAAGAAAAATTGATTGTTGTATAAGAGAGAAAATTAATTTTGAAATTTTTTTCAAAAAATTTGAACCAAACAAAATTTTGAAAAATTTTCTTAAAAATTGTATCTTGAGATACAAACCAAACAAGCTCTTAATTCCCAAACACATCTTTAAAATTATCAAAAAAAATACTCGAAGTAAAAAATATATAAAAACGTTCTTATTGTGAGGAGAGGATTTAGAATTTTTTTTTTTTTTTGATTTGTTTGGTTGTATATTTTAAAAATAATTTTGAAATTTGGGAATTTTAGATGATTTGATATTTTGTTGGAATTGAATAAATGTTTGTGAAAGAAAAAGTGATTGAAAATGAAAGAGAATAGAGAAAAAGTGATTGATTGATGTGTAATAAAAAGAAAAGTAATTTTGAAATTTTTTTGAAAAAATTTATAACCAAATATGTTTTTGGAAAACACACCCATAAACTATGGGTGAGTAGTGGATATACCGATCCGCCCAAACTGACCAAACCAAACCGATCTGCCACATTTTGAACGGATGCGTGATGACAAGCGGACGGTTGTGGATTGATTTTTTTCAATCCGCCAATCTGGCGGACGGGTGGCGGATTTGAGGTTCCTTTGGCCGCAACCGAACCGCCAAACCGCGAGTATCCCTAGTAATTTATAAGACTTTGTGCTTTCAATTTGTTTAGATATTCTATTTGTGTTTTCAATTGAAAAATAGTTTCAATATTATATTGAATATATTATGTTGAAAAAGAATATATTATGTTGAAAAAGAGCCTTCAACTTGAACATATTTTTCGAATTGAAAAAAAAAACAAATGTATTATTTATCTATATTTTTTTGTTTTTAAATTTAACTCTAAAAATAATGGTTTTTGTTTTGAAAAATAGATATAGATGTAACAATACAGACGTATACAATCTCTACTACTGCTCTGTTCATGATTTTGGTGGTTTGAATTGTTTTTATATTTTAAGAACTACAAATTGTAATATTTTATGTGGATGAAACATGCTGTGATTGTAATACTTTATGTGGATGAAACATGCTATGATTGTAATATGTGAATGAGGTATGCAGTGATTGTAATATTCTAAAGTTTCAAACTTTCTTTCTTTGGATGAGGCTTATAATACTTTTTTAAGTCATTGACTATAATACTTTTTTTTTTTTAGGAAGTGCACAAGTTGAATTATGTTAAAAATTTATAAAATTTTAAACCGCCAAACCGATTCGCATCCATCCGCTAATCTGCCAATCCGCTCAATCCACATCCGTTGGATTGGCGGACGGATGTGGATTGATTTTCTCCAATCCGCCAATCTAGCGAACGGATAGCGGATTAGAAGTTCCGTGGCCGCAACCGATCCGCACCCACCCCTACCATAAACGTTCTTATTTTTTATTGTAACATCCACCTTCTCCACTTGTCAATTGCCACTACCGCCACTCATAGCTACTTCTTCCACCCTATTTGAAACAACAAAAGTGATACATTCCTCTAATTTGAGAGTTCTAAAACAACACGAATGAAGTGGAAAATCACAAAAAAAAAAAAAACCAAGGCTAAAAACATCACATCAGATAGGACCCACACACCAATTAGAGCTATTAGAACTCTTAATTTAGAACTCCCAATCTTTTTTCCCGAAACAATTGCCACCCCTAGCTCCCCACCCCTCCCCTCTTTTGCCACCGTTATTCTCATCATCTTTTTCATGGTACTTTTTATTATTTTTCTTGAAAATCCTAGATTTGAGAAGATTACAGTAGTGGGAGAAGATAATTGAAAATGAAGTTTCAAATGAGGACAAAGTTTCACGGTGGGTGAAAAAGGCTGGGAGAAGGGTTTTGCAATAGAAAGGGCTAGGGAAAGGTGAGAAAAAAGAAAAGGATGAGGTCTTTACAACTAGAATAATACTTGGTAGCTCAAAAATAATTGGCCCGAATTGGTTCGAAACCCAAAACGACGTCATTTTGGTTTTTTTTTTTTTTTTCTTTTTCTTCTTGTTTTTTTCTTTCACTTCCCTTTCTTCTCTGAGACAGACAAAAGAAAGAGAGAAGAGGCAATAGAAAGAGAAAGAGAAGAATGAGAAAAGATGGAGAGGAGGAAGAGAAGCTGAAAAGAATGAGAAGAAAGAGATCTATATACACATAGAGGAGATAGTGATGGCAGCGCCGGTGGGTGGCTCTCTCTCTCTCTCCCTTTCTCTCTCATATATATATATATAGATATGTATGTGTGTAGATCTGTGTATACACACAGATCAGGTATTGACGTCGATGATGATAATTTGGTGTTGGTGTTGATGATGATGATGATGTATAGATCTCTCATATATATATATAGATATGTGTGTATAGATTGTTTATATACACAGATCTGGCGTTGATAATGATGTGTTGATTCTACATTTTTTTGTGATTGTTGGTTGTTGTTGATAATGATGTGGTGTTCTCGGACCCCAGCTCCCTCTTTTCTCCTCTTCATCTTCATCATCATCTTCCTCTTCTTCATTTTCATTTTCATTTTGGCCTCTATTTCAGAGAAAATAAATAAATAAATAAAAATCCAAAACGACATCGTTTTGAAATTCGAGCCAATCGGAGCGAGCCTCATTCGAGGTACGTAGCAGAACTGTAACAACTAAAGCAAAAAAAGATAGTGGGTGTTTGAAAAGTTGCTATTTTAGTAGGCTATTTTAGTTTTTGACTATTTTAGGAGACTAAAATTTTTGTGTTTTGGAAGATAGTTGGATTTTTTTGTAGTTGGATATGATATTTATAAGAGAAAAAGTGAAACGATTATAAGTTTAATGTTACATTTTGTCTTATTGACTATTTTAACCTATTTTATTTTTTAGTACTATTTTAGTAAAAAAAAAACTCTTCCCAAACACCCCCAAAGAATAATATCAATAGCCAAAGAATCAATGGTATCTATAGCTAAGGAATCAATGGTAGAAGAAAGAAGGTGATGAATTGTGCAAAATACCCCTTACCTATTAGTTAAGCTAACCTTTGTTAACAATTTGACCATTTAGAGAAAAATTAAATTTATAGACATCAAATTAAGCTGTCCTTTGGCAAGTAGGTTGGCTTTTAGTTGGAACAAAAAAAATACAAAAAGATCAGATAGGCTAATAAGATAAAATATCAAGTCTAAATTATAATTAGTTTATTTTTTCTCTTACAAAAAAGTCAATTTTTTTTAACCGAACTAATTTAATTAGGTTAAATTAACTACAAAAATTAAAAAATCAAACTATGACCATTTAGAGAAAAATTAGATTTATAGACATCAAATTAAGCTGTCCTTTGGCAAGTTGGTTGGCTTTTAGTTGGAACAAAAAAAAATACAAAAAGATCAGATAGGCTAATAAGGTAAAATATCAAGTCTAAATTATAATCAATTTATTTTTTCTCTTAAAAAAAGTCAATTTTTTTTTTAACCGAACTAATTTAATTAGGTTAAATTAACTAAAAAAAATTAAAAAACCAAACTAAAAAAGAAAATGGAGAGAGTGGGAACAAAAGTGACACTCAAACTAATTCTTATTTTTATATAACTGTTAACAAATTATAAACACATACTCCAATTATTTTTTTGGGTAAGTACACAAACTCCATTTTAGGATTATTTAAGAAATGTGTTAAAAATTAATTTTTAATTTTTTTAATAAAATATAAAAAAATAAAAAAAAAATTATATGATATAAAAGAGTTTAAAACCAAAGCACTGCTTTTAGGATTATTTTTAAAAATAGGTTAAAATTTAATTTTTTAAATTTTTTAATTTTTTTTATAAAATATAAAAAAAATAATAGGATATAAAAGAGCTTAAAACCAAAGCACTGTTTTTAGGATTATTTTAAAAAAATAGGTTAAAATTTAATTTTTTAATTTGTTTTTTATAAAAATATATGAAAAAATAAAAAGATGACACGATGTAAAAGAGCTTAAAAACCAAAGCACTACTTTTTTTTTTTTGATTCAGATGAAAACATAGTAAACAAAAAAGGTCACGGTACAAAACCAAACAAAAAAATGAGGGCTAGTCCCTCTCAAAGTGAACTCCAGTCATATCTTTTATGACCAAAGCTGTTACAGTTTCTAGGGGATCCTCCAGAATCACCACATGTTCATCTTGTGCCACTCCTATATTTGCCAAACGATCAGCAACTCTGCTTCCTTCCCTTAGTGTGTGACTCAGTGCACACTTGCATCTTGACATTAAGAACTTGGTATCTTCTATGAGGGCTTTATAGGGAGAGTGATGGCTTGGTCCATCTTGGATTAGCTTGATGGCTTGAATGGCATCAGTTTCAATCTCTACATCCAATGTGCCTTTCTGAAGAAGAATTGTGAGACCCCTGTAAATGGCAGCTTTCCATAGTATCCTCATATCCATGTGCCTGCTTCATCCCTCAAGAGCCCTCCATAGCCTGCCTGTCCAAGATCTCCTTTGGAGTAGCCATCAGTGTTTAATTTCAATTTACCTGCAGGAGGGAAATACCAGTTAATTAGAATAGGTAGGGATTGGTTAGGGTGGAGAGGAGATTGGAATGCCTCATCAATCTCAAGTACATAGTCTCTAATGTTCTTGAGACTAACTTGAATGGGGTGAATAGAATTTTCAAAAACCAGTTGATTTCTGTCTTTCCAGATCTGCCATAGGATAACCACAAAATAGAGAGACCATTTTTTCCCAAGAAATAAAGTTTTTGTTTTCATATTAGAAGACACCCATTCAATTAGAGGCAATCTACAACCTTCCTCCCACCATGTGGCATTCCTTATTTCAGTCCAGATGTTTTTGGAATTGGTACACTCCCTAAGGAGGTGGTTCATGTCCTCACTGGACACCCCACATCTGGGGCATAAATTAGAATTTGTCATGCATCTTCTGAGTCTCATTTGATTAGTTAGCAGTCTATCCTTGAGTATAAGCTAGAGAAAGCATTTTAACTTTTGAGGAGTTTTGATCTTCCATAACCATCTCCAATCAATTCCATCCATCTCAGGTCCTACAATGGTCTTATAAGCAGCTGCTGTTGAGAAGTCTCCTCCAGAGGATCCAAACCAAGTAGGGGCATCTGTTTAAGTCACATACCTGGGTCTATGGATTTGCAGAATTTGTTGGAGGTCTTGCTGAGACACAGTATTCACAATGGCTGCAGGGTTCTAATTTCCTTTATCATCAAGGAGTAAACTCACCTTATCTTCATCATTAACTTGTGGAGAAGTATATGTTTGATCCAAAGGTTTTTGACCACACCACCAATCATGCCATAGGGATATGGTCTCCCCATTACCCACATTCCATTTAACCCTTTTCTTAAGGATGTCCTTATTTTTACATATGCTTTTCCAAATGTGGGAGGCTCTCATCTTCAAAGGCCAATTATAAAGGGTGTGGTTTTGTAGATACTTGGCTTGTAGGACCTTACACCAAAGTTTGGTAGAATCAGTTAGCATGCTCCAGCCAAGTTTAGTGAGCAGTGCATCATTTTGGTCTCTAGCTCTTCTAAGTCCAAGTCCACCATCCTCCTTAGATCTACACACACAGTTCCAGTTAACAAGGTGGACCCTCATGTTGTTATCAAATTCTCCCCAAAGAAAATTTCTATTAAGTTTGTCAACCTCATCACAAAATTGTCTAGGGAGTTCCATGACTTGCATATTATAGCTAGTAATAGCAGAGGTAACAGAATTTATGAGTGTAGCCTTGCCAGCAAAGGATAAATTCCTTGTTTTCCAGCCTGAGAGTCTGGCTTTCAGCTTTTCAAGGATCTCATTAAACATATTTTTGTTGACTCTTTTATGAAGGAGAGGAGATCCCAAATATTTGCCAAGATCTTGAGTGAGGGGAATGCCACTCTGGGAGCTTAGGGCTCTAGCTTGATTAGGAGGGATATTGTTGGACACAAAAAGTTTAGATTTCAAGTAGTTAATTTTTTGACCAGAAACAGCACAAAATTCATTAAGGACCCCAATGATGGTTTCACAGGTAGGATGGTCAGTCTTGGCAAAAAGAATGAGATCATCAGCGAAAAAGAGATGGGACAAGGTTGGACAATGTTTAGAAGCTTTTAAACCTTTCCAAGATCTCTCTTTCACTTTCGATATGATCATGTTGGATAGACGCTCCATACAAAGAACAAAAATGTAAGGAGAGAGAGGATTACCCTGTCTAAGTCCCCTTTCATTGCGGATACCCTCAAAAACTTCCCCATGCCAGAGGATAGAGGAATGTTTATTAGTGACACAGTTCATGATCAAATCAATCCATTTTCCATTGAGTTTAAATTCCTATAAAGTGTCATTGATAAAATCCCAAGACAATCTATCATAGGCTTTTTCAAGATCAATTTTGAAAATCATACCCCCACTTCTTCCTTTCTTGTATCTCAGAGTATGGAGGATTTCTTGGGTGATTATAATATTATCAGTGGTATGTCTCCCAGGAATAAAACTACTCTGGTTGGGACTAATGAGCGTATCCAAGAAAGGTCTAATTCTACCCACTATAATCTTAGTTATGATTTTGTAAGTGACATTACAAAGACTTATGGGACGAAATTGTTTGATTGAGTCAGGGTTCTCAATTTTTGGGATCGGGGCAATAAGAGTCTCATTAACTACATCGGGCACTCTAGCAGTTTGGAAACAGGAATGAATAAAATCATAAACCGAATGACCCACAGTTTGCTAGTATTTTTGGTAGAATAATGCTTGAATACCATCTTTCCTCGGTGCTTTAAAAGCACCAATACTTTTAACAGCTTTCAAAACTTCAGAATTAGTTATGGGTTTTAGTATTCTCGCATTGTCCTTCGGAGCAAAATAAGTTGGGGTCATGTTTTGCCAATTTTCCAAAGAATGAACGTCCTCTTTTTTAAAAAGATCATTGAAATAATCCATAATGTTCCTAATTATATCAGCTTTCTCAAGAATCCAATTACCTTCGTTATCTTTAAAGGCATTAATCTTCAATTTTCTCCTCTTGGTGATGGTCGAAATGTGGAAATATCTAGTGTTACGGTCTCCAATGGTAATGTTTTTTGATCTAGATTTTTGGAACCATAACATCTCTTCTTGCAATAACACATTATTATATTGAATAATGAGAGTTTTCTCAAGGGTGAACAGACTATGAGAAAATTGATTCGTTAAGGCTTTTTGGATGCCTTCAATTCTAGCCAGTAAATTTCTTTTCTTTTTAAAAATATTGCCAAAGACTTCTCGATTCCATGTTCTAACTCTAGTTGTAAATTTAGTTGTAAATTCAGTAGTGGAATCGAGAAGTTTGTTATTCATATCAGTCCAGGAGGAGCTAATGACATCCAACAGACCAGGATGAGACATCCAAGCCGCCTCAAATCTAAAAGGTCTATTTGGGGGATTGAGAGAGTGCATACCTTCAGTGTAGACAATGAGAGGAGAGTGACCGGAATATGTGCGGGGGAGCACTTTCACACTAGCTTCAGGATACAATGTACGCCAATCTGCATTGCACATCGCTCTGTCCAACCTTTCCATAGTATTAGCCAGCCCGTGTCTGTTGTTAGTCCAAGTCATTCTGGGTCTTGAACTTCCCAGATCAATCAGGTTGTATTTATTGACTCTGTCAAGGAATTTTTGAGGTCTGGTTGTGCTTTGGTTGTTGAAGAAGCTCCTTCGTTCACTTTGATTTGCATAGTCACTGAAATCACCTGCGACCAGCCACGGTTTGTCCATGTTCGCTGTAACATCTTCCAAATTATTCCATAAGGTCTCTCTTAGGAAAGGGTTTGGGCTAGCATAAACAGCGGCAATGACCCATTCTACATAGTCCTCTTTATGTACGGTTGCCTGTATGACTTGAGAACTTACAGCAGATGCTCTTACATTGACATGGCTGGTGTCCCATATAATCCAGATCCCACCAACTCTACCCACGGGGTCCACTATAGTAGACGCTGTGAATCCTAGTTGATTGAAGAAGTTGCCCATTTTACTATATTGAACTTTGGTTTCCATGAGTATCAAGATTTCCGGTTTGTGAGTCCTGAGAATCTCTGTGAGATGGCGCTTAAAGTTTTTATTGCCGGCACCGCGGCAATTCCAAAAGAGTAATTTCAGCAGATCCATAGATGGAAAAAGTGATCGGAATATGTGCGGGGGAGCACTTTCACACTAGCTTCAGGATACAATGTACGCCAATCTGCATTGCACATCGCTCTGTCCAACCTTTCCATAGTATTAGCCAACCCGTGTCTGTTGTTAGTCTAAGTCATTCTGGGTCCTGAACTTCCCAGATCAATCAGGTTGTATTTATTGACTCTGTCAAGGAATTTTTGAGGTCTGGTTGTGCTTTGGTTGTTGAAGAAGCTCCTTCGTTCACTTTGATTTGCATAGTCACTGAAATCACCTGCGACCAGCCACGGTTTGTCCATGTTCGCTGTAACATCTTCCAAATTATTCCATAAGGTCTCTCTTAGAACAGGGTTTGGGCTAGCATAAACAGCGGCAATGACCCATTCTACATAGTCCTCTTTATGTACGGTTACATGTATGACTTGGGAACTTACAGCAGATGCTCTCACATTGACATAGCTAGTGTTCCATATAATCCAGATCCCACCAACTCTATCTACGGGGTCCACTATAGTAGACGCTGTGAATCCCAGTCGATTGAAGAAATTGCCCATTTTACTATATTGAACTTTGGTTTCCATGAGTATCAAGATTTCCGGTTTGTGAGTCCTGAGAATCTCCGTGAGATGGCGCTTAAAGTTTTTATTGCCGGCACCGCGGCAATTCCAAAAGAGTAATTTCAGCAGATCCATAGATGGAAAATTAGGTGGGTTAGAATCCAAGTCCTTAATGACACTGCGCATCCTCCGATGATCGTCCTCGACTGATCGCATGGAGGCCATCTGAACCAAGTGGAATGGTCTCGCAGGGATGCTCTCCCAGTTTGGCTCGATTGTCAGTTGGATTTGTTCTATCGACCATACGAAAGCGACGAGGTAAATTGCTTCGCTCTCTGGTTCGAACAACGGACTCAATGCACTGGTCTGCTTCACATGCTCTTGTACCTCTGGTGTCTGCTGCTCGAAGGCCATCGTCTTTTGCTGTTTCGTTTCTCAAGTCGCCAGGGTCTAGAGGGGTTGGTTCTCTCCCCCAACACTCTATGGTGTTCTGGCTTATACTAATGTTGGGGTTTTGTTGTACCAGCTGGGTTTGGAGGTGAGTACTCTCGACCATAGTTGAGTCAATGTGGTTTGATGGCGCAAGTAAGGAGCAGGTTATGTCAGATTGGTTTGAATGAGTTGGGTGGCCATTATTATGCTTGGTAAGAATAGGTTGGTCGCTGCTTGTAGGTTCTGATATGATCTCCCTAGCGTGATTCGTAATTATCTTCTTCATTGGTTCCAGATCTGATTGCTTTTGGTTTGACTCTGGTTGGACATCTATATGTTGGGCCAATCCAACCTTGTTTTTGCCTTTGGAATCATCAGAATGTTGTGGGTCAATCTGTGGGTTGCTTTCTCCTTGGGCCTTCTCAAGCTCTGCCCCTTTATCGTTTCTTCCCCTAGAACTTTCCCCTTGGCCATCTGGGCTCTCTTCTAAATATTTGAACCTATTCTGCTGCGGGGTGGGGTTTTTTTTAATCTGGGCTAGTCTTCTTCCTCTTTTGGTTGCCAACATCCAGTACCCGAGGGCCTCTTCCTCAGACTGTTTATGGTACAGGTTACCGTTAGTTGCAGCGGTCCCCGTGGACAGAGCTTTCTCCCCGGAAACGTCTAGATTCTTTGCTGACGGTGGACTAGATAGTGCCTTGAACCGACATGCTTCTTTACGGTGGTCAATTCTTCCACAAAGGAAGCAAAAAGAGTGTAGGGATTCATATTCTATATTATAATACCGCCCTTCCAAGATAAACTTAGGCTTCAGGGGTTTGGTGAGGTCCATCTCGACACAAATCCAGGCAAATTTCCCCCTGGTTGCCATAGCTGTTGTCCAGTCGATTTTGAGAGGCTTACCAATTGATTTTGCAATAACATATAAGACTTTCTCTTGGTAGTATTCGATCGGAAGCTCTAGAAACCGGACCCAGATTGCGGTCGTGGTTTCAAGTGCTTCTGATGGTTTGAAATTTGGTTCCCATCTCCTCACCGTTAGGTAGTGGTCCAGGATAACCCATGGTCCTCCTGTATATACTTTAGTATAGTCTTCTTTCTCAGAAAAATTTAAAAAGGAAATAATTGCTGCCTAGGTTAATAGCGTTGAACTCACCTTGGAGTGTCCAAATTTTCGTAACTCTCGTGCACAGCATCTTATAGCCTATGTTCTTGCCCAGCAACCTGATGATCAGTGCATTCTCCCAAGGCTTTCGGATTTTTTCCAAAAGTTTTTGAGGCAAAGGAATCATGGGGATTCCCATGTGTTCAGATAGGACCTCATCCGTGGTGGGAATTCCTCTCTGTTCATCACCATCCTCATCAGACGACAGAGTGTCAACTCCAACATCAAAAAGATAATCGCTACTCTTCACTGTGGTAAGGGCTTCCTTGAAGGATTTGGGAGGGGGAGATACTACAGGTACCTTCTGTGTGTTGGCTAGCTCGGTAAGACCTTCAGTTTCCATGGCCATTCCTTGCTCAATCTCCTTTCCCTCCTGCTGATTCGTACTTTTAACCTTTTTTGTGCTTCGGATCAAGTGGTCATCTTCTTCCGTTGATTTGCCGAGGTTTGGTGAGTCGCGATGATCGGAGATTAGGTTGGAGATAGGATTCAACATTTTAGATCTATAGTATTTGTTATTATTATTTGTATTCTAGTGTAGCTTTGGAGCAGGAACTGTTGCCAATAGCAAAGCACTACTTTTAGTGGTGGCTTGTGATGTTCTAAATAAATGTATTTTTTGACTTTTTATAAATAGATGAGTAAAAAAGTAGATAAAGTAAGTAAAAATTAAATAAAAAATGTCAATAAATATTGATTAATGTGATCCAACTAAATATATATATACAAAAAAAAATACACTTTTTAATAGATACCAAACAAGCACTTAGGGTTGTTTTGGCAGCCTAGTTAAAAGCTAACTTTTAACTTTTAACAGATTTTGGATCACATTACCTCTCACATTTTTTATCGAAAAATGATTTTTTCCCCAAATTTTGCCCCCTCGAATCCCCCGACTCGTTTTGGGCAGTTTATTTTATTTTTTTCTTCTTTTTTTTCCTGTATGCAGGTCTGAAACAGAGGAGAAAGAGGGAGAGAAGAGAGAAAGAAGAGAGGAGAAGGGAAAGAGGAGAAGAGCCAGCACTGTCGCCGCCGCCGAGGATCGTCGCTGCTCGTCGCCGGCCGTCGCTGCTCGTCGCCTCGTCGCCTGCCGTCGCTGCTCATCGGCTCTACCTCGCCTCCGTCCCCCGCATCCAGCCCCATTTGTTGGGCCCCCTCCAGTCCCTCCTCCTCCTCCTCCTCCCTCCTTTCTCCTCCTCCTTCATTCTCTTCTCCTTCTCTGCTTCTGATTCGAGCCAATTTCGAACTCCACCTTTCGAGCTACATAGCACTACCGTATCATATATTTACGACGTCATTTGGTAATATTATCCATTTATTTTTCGGTAAATTATACTAACATTCTCTATAATTTGGGACTCGTATCATTTTAATTCTTAACTTTTTAATTGTGACACATTTGATCTTATATTTTGAATCTTATTTTAAATAAGAACAATTGAACTTACCATTACTTAATTTCAAGGGTAAAATTATCAATTTGATAAAATATAAACTAATTTGACAAAAATAAATATCAAAAAAATATTTTAAAATTTTTAAAAATAATTTTTACCCACAGAAGATAAAATTACGTAAAATTGATAAATCTTTTAGATTGTTATTTTACAGTTGATATTTTTTTTTATTTTTTTTTTTTAGGATAGTTGATATGTTTTTAAAAAAATGTCTCGTAACTTAAATTTTGTAACTCAAAAATGACTTAAATGGTCAAAACGACGTTGTTTTGGCCATTTTTATGCTGTTCTGTACTTAAAACGACGTCGTTTTAGCCATTTGAGCCACTTTTGAGCCACAAAATTTAAACTACGTAGCATTGTCGATGTTTTTATCTAATATGAGAGATTTAATTTCTTTTCTTTTTAATTTTTTTTTTCTAGTTTATCCCTAAACCTCTTTTAAGGTTAGTTTGACATGCCTCTTAGATGTAAAATAATCATATAAAACAAAATAAATTATTTTAGTCAAATAAAATAAAATATCACATTCAACTCATAATCATTTTATTTTTTTTCTTATAAAAGTCAAAAAATCAAAAACTCTATCACAAACGTTTTTTTTTAACTCCAGGTTAAAATCACAAAAAAATCAAAAAATTAAAAAGTTAACACACATCTCTCTTAATATTTTTTATTTAAGAAAATTATTTCATTTTTTTCTTTAATTTTTTTTTTTTGGAATAAAAATTTGACTAATGAAAATTTAGTCAAAAAATTTATTTATATATAATTTTTTTTTTTTGTTTTTTCAGTTTATTACAAATTTACTTTGCAACCTCCTCACCCCCACCTTGATGCGTTCAATCCCTCCTATTTGCGAACCCCGCTATTCTCTCTATCTCAACACCCTATCTTCTCTATTTGCTTTTGTCATCTCCTCCGAAAATCAACCAAAAAGCTAGGGTTTGGGTGTAATGAAGACATTGATAATGGAGAAGGTGGCGGCTAGGGTACGAACAAAAAAGTTTGTTTCAAATTGAATTGTCTATGATTTCAAATGAAAGGTGAAGAGGTTAGTATTTCAAACGGAATGGTGAAGGAAAAAAAGAATGAGCTAGGTTTGAGGTGGCAGTATAGAAGTGAGAATTGTATTATTAGACTAAAAGTCTATTTCGTCTTTTTACCGTTATTTTAGTTAAAAAAATAATCATTTAATTTATGTCAAACGAGGAGTTAAAATAAAATTAAGGCCTCTTTAACCTCTTAAAAAAGTCAATTTATTAATTTATTTGAGTTATATCAATTGGTGTACTAACTAATGTACCAATACTAGTTATGATATTATTATTGACCTTACTCATATACAAATTATAAATACCAAAACTATTTTAAATTATGTGATATCATCAATTAATATACTAATTAATTCACTAATTGCTGCATTTAACATTTGTATTTAACATTAGTCTGAATAAAAAGGTCAACCTATAAATGTCACATTCACATCAATCAATTAGAATAAAAATTAAGGCTCATTTGGTTTAGTTTTTTAAAAATATTTTGAGTTGTATTGTGAAAAATAAGTTGTTGAAAAGAGTTTTGTAAATTAAAGGCTCTGTTTGGTTTAGATTTTAAAATATAGTTTTATCCCTGATTTGAGTGTGGTAATTTGGTTGCAACTTTCAAATCATAATTCTGCACCAATTTCTCAAAACTCATTTCAAACTATAATCATTACTTTTCAATACTCATAACGAAACGCACAATTCAAAACTCTTTTCAAACCTAAAAAACAACTTAATTTTTATTTTAAATATTTTTTGTTTTTTTATTTTAAACATTTTATTTTATTTTGTAGGAATATTTTTGATATTTTATTTTTCATAAAAATATTTTAATATTTTGATATTTTAATTGTAAATATTTTGATTTTCGGAATATTTTTAATATTTTGATTTTCGGAATATTTTTAATATTCTTAATATTTTAATTTTGGGAATTTTTTTAATATTTTAATTATCATAAAAATATTTTAATATTTTGATATTTTAATTGTAAATATTTTGATTTTCAGAATATTTTTAATACTCTTAATATTTTAATTTTCGACATATTTTTAATATTTTATTTTTCGGAATATTTTTACTATTTTAATTTTCTAAATAATTTTAAAATATTTTTTATATTTTTTATGTTTATACAGGCCTAAAAAATGAATTGACAAAAAAATTAATTGACATAAAATAATTGAAATAGAAGTTATTTGAAAAAACAATTATTTGAAAAAAAAATTATTCAAAAAAATTACCTAGAAATAATTAATTGAAAAAAAATCATTTTTTTATTTGAGTATTTTAAAAATAGTATGATTATGACATTTGATAAAAAATACGGATATCGAGTTATGAGTTGTGTGTTTGATTATCAATTATAGGTTGAAATAAGTTTTGAAAACTCATTACCAAACAAATTTTCTTATTTTACATGTCACATCAAACTTTCAAAACTCAATTTCACATACAATTCAAAACTCAATTCAACACTCTATTCAAAAATCATAACCAAACAAATTTTCTACACTCAAATAATAATTCCACAATTCACAAACTCAAAATACAACTCATACTCTCAAATTATATTTACAAAATTCTACCAAACGCAACCAAAAATTTGTTTAATTATGAGTTTTAAAAATAATTTTGGAATGATTTTTATTATTATTATTATATTTTTTGTAGTTAAATAGATGAATGAGAAAAAATTTAATTGATTAATGTATGTGTAGAATATAAAAAAATAAGAGACCAAAGAGAAGATAGAAAAAATGATTGATTGATTTATTAATATAAAAAAAGATAGGAGAGATGAGAGAAAAAAAATAATTTTAAAAAAGAGTTTTGAAAATTAATAAATTAAACATATTTTTTGATTTTTTGATCCAAATATTAATTTAAAAACTAAATCAAATGGTACCTAAAACTTTAGCTGTTTTAATGCATTAGTCTATTGAAAAACCATCAAAAAAGGCTATTTTAGTCACAAAAAATAAAACATCACATCTAACTCATAATCATTACACTCTTCTCTCACAAAAAAAGTCAAAAAACTAAAAAATCATTCCCAAACAAAGCTTTTTAGCATAGGCTAAAATAGCCAAAAAAGTCAAAAAGCTACAAAGCCAACCCACTTCCCAAACGACACCATTGAGTGGTTGGGAAAATAGCTATCAAAATATGGAACTCTGTTGGGGTGTAATTTTTTATAGGAAAATGACTGGTAGCTCGAAAAAAGTGGCCCGATTTTGGCTCGAATCGCAAAACAACGTCGTTTTGCGATTCTTTTTTTTTTCTTTTTCTTTTTCTTCCTCTTCTTTTTCTTTTTTTCTTTCTTTTCTTTTTCTTCTTCGTTGAACACAAGAGAAGAACAGAGGGGAAGATGAGGAAAGAGGGAGAAAGAGAGAGGAGATGAGAGAATGGCCCTCCTGTGCCTCTGTCACCGCCGATCGTCGCAGCATCTCCGATTGTTGTAGCAGCTCCGATCGTCGCAGCAGCAGCTCTGATAATTGTAGCCCCGCACAGTCCCGCCTCTGGCCCTGCCTCCTCCAGCCCGATTTTAATGGCCCCCTCCCCTCCAGTTCTCCTTCTTCCTCCTCCTTCTTCTCTTCTTCTTCTTCTCCGAATTCGAGCCAAATTCGAGCCTCCGAATTCGAGCTACGAATCGGAGTCGTTTTTTGTATATATTTTTTGTGCAGAAAAAAAGTTAGACCAGTTGTTTTTCTAAGAAGTTTTTAGCAAATAGTATGATATAAGGTCTCATTTGGGAACATATTTTAATTTTTTAGTTTTTTGGTTAAAATATGATGTAAAAAAAATTATTATATTTGAGATGACTTTTTTACTTTTTACGAAAAGATGTTTAAAAAGTAGAGAGAAAAGATATTTTTTGACTTTTTGGTATAGCTTGTTGACTTTTTGACTTTTTTAATAATTTTTTGATTTTTTTGCTAAAAGTCACTTGCCAAACGAGGAAGAAATTGCAGGGCCATTTTGGGAAGTGGGTTAAAAAACTACTTCATAATTTTTAACTCATTTCTCTCTGTTGAAAAAAGTCAAAAAGTAACCTTTAATTATTTTTTCAAAATACCTCTAAGAGCATCCACAATGGACATACTAAGGAGAGTGTTAGTGTTAGTTGGTAAGTTTTAGCTAGCAAGGTTTGGTGTTTGATGCTGCAGTGGATCAGTTAGTGTATGTGTTAGTGGTGTGTGTTAGTCGAGTGTGTTAAAACGTTTGTTATCTGCACTGATGGTTTTAGCTAGCGAGGGGAGTGTGTTTGTGTTCTTCCGGGTTGACCGGTCAACGACAAATTTTTTTTTTTGACTTGAAATTTAATTTTGGGCTTGAAATTTTTGATTAAACTAAATTATTTATTTATTTTATTTATTATGTACATATATATATATATATATTTAACACACCCCTTAACACACTTCTTAACACATCCATTGCACCACCACTCACTCTATAAAATTAACAAACTCTTAATACACCTTAACACATATTTTAGGTCTCACTTTTATCACTTTTTTATCATATAACACACATTTTAACATACTTTTTTAGTTATTCCATTGTGATGCCCTAAGTGGCTGCCGAGAATGGTGTGGTGGTGGAGGTTGTATTGGAGAAGAAGGGCAGCGTAGGTAGGAATAAAGTTGAAAGAAATAGAATTTAAGATGAAATAAAATTCAAATTTAAGAATTTGATGTTCAAAGAAATAGAATTTCTAACAACATTTTGGGGTTACATTAAAGGAAATAACAAAAATATATAATTATTTTAGGATAAATTACACTAGGGTTGTTTTGAAAATCAGTTATTTTAATTAATTTTTTAACTTTTTATGAAAAGATATAAAAAATAAAATTTAACTTTTTGATAGTAATTTTTTTACTAAACATATCACTTTCCTTAGAAGTTTAAAAAATAAAAATTAATTATACATCTAAATTCTTTGTTGTTATCATAAATACACTTATCAGTCCTCTGGATAAGACAAAATAAATTAAAATTAATGTAGATAGTGTGAAATTATAAAAATAAGCAAAGTGAAATATATATTTCAGTATAATAGATATAATAATATTTATTTTATTTGGTTTCAGAAAATTGGACTAACTTTTTAGAAAATATTTTTTTTTGCTTTTCTTAATTTTTTTGTTTTTAATCAAAAAATTAGTATTTTAAGAATTTTTAAAAAATTTTAGAGTTTCCTAATCCACATACACTTAAAAAAATATTATTTATGATTTTTTTTCAAAAACAAATCATCAAATACAAAAAATATAAAAATTCAATACATTTTCATATTATTTGTATTTATTGAATGTTTTAAATTTTTTTTACACATTTATTTTTTAAGTACATCTAAGTTATATATATCTAGAAAGTAAAAAATTTATTTAAAAGAATTAAAATTTTCACTAAAAATAAAAAAATATGAAAAATAAAAAATATTGAATCATTCACATTTTAAGATTTGTAAAGTATATGATACCTGTAAAAAATTAAGTTGATTGGATTAATAAAACTATTTTTTAGTTATATGATTCGAACAATTGATTTTTGATATCCGATCGACTTATTTTTTTACAAGTATAATGGCCCCGTTTGGTGTAGCTGTTAAAACAGCTTATAAATTATAGCTTAATAGATTATAGATTATGACTTTAATCAGAAATTGTTAATCTGTTTAATGTAGCTGTTGGATTATAGATTTAAGTTGCTGAATAGTGTTTGTTAAATAAACTGTGAAATAGTTTTTTCAATTAATTTTTATTTTTTGTTATTTACTATTTGTCTACATTTCTCATAAATAATAATAATCTATAGATCATTTGGGTCTTTTTCTATTTTTAAAAAAATAAAAATAAAAAAATCTAAGAATATAACCATATGTTAACATGTCCACTGCAAAATATGATAAGCAGCTTCTCAGAATCAGCTTTTTTGAGTTAAAATAAGCTGTTAGAATCAGAAACTGTTTGAAATAAATTTAATCAAACAGTCCAAAATAACTTTTTCAAAGCTAAAAACTATAAGTTAGCTTTAAAAAAGGAAAATGTTTGGTAGCTCAAATTTTTGTGGCTCAAATGGCTCAAATCTGTCAAAACGACGTCGTTTTACACTCAAAATCTATCAAAACGACGTCGTTTTGACAGATTTGAGCCATTTGAGCCACAAAAATTTGAGCTACCTAGCATTGTCGTTTAAAAAATTGAAACAAACACCTCCAATATACTTAACAAATCTTAAAATATGAACGATTCAAATTATCAAAATTATGTCTAAAATAGCCCCAATGGCCCACGATGTAAGGAGCCAAGTAGAGATCCTCTCTAATCAACCGAAGGCATTTTTTATTTTTTTATTTTTTGGATAATACTAATTACAATATTTTTTTCGTCTCAAAATATTAGGCTTGGTTTGGGAAGTGGGTTGGCTTTTTGGCTTTTAGGCTTTTTTGGCTATTTTAGCCTGGGCTAAAAAGCTTGATTTGTATTATAAAAATAAAAATAAAAATAAAAAAGTTAGCTTATGTAAAAGGAACTGTTATTTTTGAACAGGAAGTATGATTTTTCATTGGCATTAGCGCTTGAATTGCAGCGTCACCTAGGGTTCCATCCTCTGAAACAATACAATACTCTCTCTCTCTCTCTCTCTCTCTCTCTAAATACGAACTCCTCTGCAAAGCCTCGCTTCGCCCATTTAAAGCACTCTCTGTAGCATTCCGTGTTGTCTCTGCTTTTTTCTCTCTCTTCTTTGTTTTGGGTATTTTGGACTGTCCTGGGACCCCAACACTGTCCATATACCCAGCAAAACACCACTGAGCTTTAAAAAAAGTTAGCTTATGTAAAAGGAACTGTTATTTTTGAACAGGAAGTATGATTTTTCATTGGCATTAGCGCTAGAATTGCAGCGTCACCTAGGGTTCCATCCTCTGAAACAATACAATACTCTCTCTCTCTCTCTCTCTCTCTAAATACGAACTCCTGCAAAGCCTCGCTTCGCCCATTTAAAGAACTCTCTGTAGCATTCCGTGTTGTCTCTGCTTTTTTCTCTCTCTTCTTTGTTTTGGGTATTTTGGACTGTCCTGGGACCCCAACACTGTCCATATACCCAGCAAAACACCACTGAGCTTTATAATAATGAAATCTTGAGGAAGCAGCAAAACCCAAACAAACCCATCACAAAAGGGGCTCATCAAAATCCCCCACAATTGTGTTGAAGAGTTTGTGTGTATTTCAGATGGCAGAGGAATTGAAAGACGGCGAGTTTTGGCTCCCTCCTTGGTTCCTCACCGACGACGACGTACTCATAGACTCCAAACCCAGCAACAAAGTAAGCAGAGCAACCCGGGTTGCTGATTCTGGAGTCTATCCCTTTGACTTTCCGTGTGGGTTCGGCTCCTTTGGGCCTTACTCGGATCTGAGTTCGCCGGTGGAGTCTGTGATGAGCTCCACCGAGACAGAGAGTGATGAGGACGATTACATAGCTGGGTTGACTCGGAAAATGGCTCACTCGACGCTCCTCGACGATTTCTGGAAACCCGACTCTGGTTTTGGGTACGAGACCCAGAAGGTATTTGTATTTTGTTTCCGTATGAACCCGTTCTCTCTGCTTTTCTTTTCTTTTCTTTTCCTTTTCTTTTTTGGGTTATTCTCGGTTCTTATTTCTGTTTTTTTTTTTTTGTGTTTTGTAGTCGTCTTGGGCTGTGTCTGAGTCGCCTCAATCGACACTATGCATGGGTGGGTTTGGTTGCAAACATTGCTCGAGCCGTGGAAGCCCAAACTGCCTTTCACCGGCGGTGCTGAATCAGAACGAAGCCTCTTGGGAAGATCTGCTTTACGCGGCTGCAGGGGAGGTCGCGAGGATGAGGATGATTGAAGAAACTACTGGGCATTTTCAGAACAGAGGACTCTTGCTTCCGCCTAGAAAACCCAGTCCCATCTCTGTCCCTCTGAGAAACCCTAATCCAAATATTGGGCTTCAATCTAACCATTCCCTTTCTTACCAGCAATTACAAGTCGCCCAAGTAAGCCTACCATTTCATTTCTTTTTTGTACTTTCTATTAACTGTGTTCTTTATATATTTTTGGTGATTCATTTGTTTGGTTTATGTGATATGTGCAGTTTCAGCAATTGAAACAGCAACAGATGATGAAGCAACAACAGAACCAGAGCCACCTAATGGCTCAGAACAGAGCAAGGAATACCGGCCGACATGTAGGTCTGTCGCCGTCTGCTTGGCCGACTCTGCAACAGTCTCTGCCGCCACAGCAACAACCCAGTTCAGGTATGAGAGCTGTTTTTCTTGGAAATACTGGGTCCAAGCGAGAATGTACTGGAACAGGGGTGTTCTTGCCTCGTCCAATCGGTAGCCCAACTGAGACCAGGAAGAAATCAGGTATGTGTTTTGTGTTGATTTTTTGACGTGGTTGTAATTTTTAGGGTCTCTGTTTTAGCAAGATCTGTTCCTTGGTTTTTGTTTGATTTTGGTGCTTGATTTGTTTGTTTATCACATTTTTACTGAGTTATTAACAATTTTTATTTGTAATTTCAAGGTTGTTCGACGGTATTGCTTCCAGACAGAGTGGTACAGGCGCTGAACTTGAACTTAGACGCCATGGATTCTACACCCCAGCTTCAGTCTCGCTATGAAGGGACTTTCAATCCTGACTATGGTAAAACTTGAAAACACAAACACACATACTTTATATATACATTTATTCATGAATTGGATCAATAAAACTAAATGTGATTTGTATTTGTTTTTTCAGATGCTGCTCTAAATCGGAACGTTCGATCTCGGACAGGGATGAACCAAGAGCTCCGGCTACCTCCGGAGTGGACATGCTGACTTGACCTTGCATTTTAAACCCTCTGAAGTGGTCTTTTAACATTGTTTTTTTGGAAGATTTACTGAAAAGGAGGGAAAATTGAAGTTTGGATTAGAAGTACAAGGAAGTTTGTTAGTAGTTAGTTTGGAATAAAAATTAGGATAATTACAGATATAGTTTGAAGAAGAAGAAGAAGAAGAAGATAGTTTTAGGAAAGAAGATTGAAGAAGAAAGAATAGTAAAAGCTCTGTTTTTTCATTTTGGTTTTGTGGCTAGTCACGGGAAAGTAGTGGATTCTGTTGTTTCTCTTTGTATTTCTCTATTTTGTTGGATTGAAAAATTGTTAATGAAATATGAGAAAAAGGGTTAGGAGTTGGGGGAATGTTTCACGGTTGTTTGTTTGATGGTTTGTTTTGTACAACAATGATTCTTCCCACTAAAAATATCATCACTAATAGCACTAATACATTAAAAAAATAAAAAAAAACAAAAAAAAACACAACTTCAAGATCAAAACATCACATCATTAATGGCGGGATCCACTACCACCTAATTAGGAGCAAGGATCCTCTAGAGTGATTTTTTCTTAAAGTTTTCTAAAGTGCTACATTGTGTAGTTGAGATTTACTTGGAAGTCACATCAATTTTTCTGATGTGACTTGCCAGTAAATCTCAACCACACAATATAGCACTCTAGGAAACTTTAGAAAAATTTTACTCTAGAGGATCCTTGGTGTCTAATTAGTGGGAGCACTAATTAGTGCTCCCAAGCATTTTTCTTGTTTTGTAGACAAAATTGATTCCAGCCCCTACCCCGCCTAACATGGCCACGGAATCAATCAATAATATATTACTTTAATATTTGAATTACTTTTATTATTATTGTTATTATTATTATTATGTGATATTGTAATAAAACTCAAATATTATGATTTTGATAATGAAAATTAAATATATCAGGTATCTTATATATCTTATATAATATTAAAGAAACTAGGATAAACTACAATTGTGGATTGTTTAAATCTCGATTTTTTTTTTTGTGATTTAAAAATTTATAATTATTTTTTATGAGATTTTTTTATTGAATAAAATGAATTAAAAATAAAAATTTTAATTATATTTGTACATAATAATAAAATTATTTGTAGTGTTTATTGAAATAAAATTTTAATTGGTTAGGAAATTTCTTAATGAAATTGTTCTTTCCTTATAAAATTAAAAACTGAGGATTGGTCCTTTGTTATCCTTTGATATGAAATTAAAACTTTAAAGATTGATCGTTGTTATGAAATTAGAGCTTTGAGGATTTAAAATCATAATTTATAAATTGTATTTTAAATAAATCATAGAGGTGTATTTATAGTTTACTTCAAAAAATTAAAAATTTCTAATGCAGAAGAGATAATTGCCTAACAAGTACAAGGATATAAGACTTGCGTACAGGAGAGATTTTGAATATTCATTTCAAAATATTTAATTTATTATTCTATTTTTTATTATTTTAAAATATTAATCTTTTTTAAAAAATTAAAGAACAAAATAATATAAATTTATTATTTTTTCATTCTTTTAAAATTATTAATAATAATTATGACAATTGATATTTAAAAAATAATATATTATCAAAAAGGTAATTTTATAAAATTAATATTTTTAAATTGTAATAACTGTACTATTAAAAAAATTAAATCTCTTAAAAAATATTTTTATTTTGAAACGGAAGGAGTAATTGAAAATACATGTTGAAAATGTAATTTATCTGAGTGAAACTCATGTCATTATAAAATGACATTTTTAACATGTAATTTAAAGTTGAAAATGTAATTTCAATTTAAAATTGTATTTTTAAAATACAATTTCAAAAAACAGGTTAGTTTTGAAAATAATTAAAAAAGTGAGTCAATTATTTAAATTATTATTTTTTAAATATTAAAATAAAAATCTCGAGACAGGAGTTTATAACAATTATATATTTTGAAAATGTTTTGAAACTTCTCGCTAATAACTGCTTTTCTTGTCTTGATGTTGGCATTTGACCATGGTAGTCGTCTTGGGCCACCACCACACTTGGCATTTTTTTTGGCTTATTGCATTCCGTTATTTTTATTTTTTATTGTATTTTATTTTTTGCAGTACATTAATTAAGTTGGCTTTTTGTGATTTTTTTTTTTCATGGGAGTGAAGTTTCGAGAAAAAAATTATTTGATGCTCTTGGACAAATTTACATTGTGCTTTTACTTAATTTGTATTGGTTAAAATAGTGAAATTTAAGTTGTTTTATTTATTTATTTATTTAAAAAGATAATATAACTAGTGTCATATATCAAAAATATTAGAGACTGCAAAAGTTCTACCAAATGCCTCATATGGGTGTTAGACCCACGTTGTGTGGGTTCCATACTCATATTACTCGTCATGTATTGAATAACATAACTTTATTCTATTTATTTATCAATTGTATTTATCTATTTGGATTGAGAATTGTTTAGTTTCATCTGGTGGACTTATCATAAGTTTTATTTTGATAATTTAAATTATTTATTTTGTAAAATTATCTATTTATATTATCTTTGAAAGAAAATCATGTCTATTCGATGATAGTAATATTTTTCATTTTATTGTGTTTGTTTCTAAAAAAATTAGTGGTCTATTTTAGAAAATGCATTGATCAATCTATTTTTATTTATAAATGATATATACAAAAGGCCTTATAAAATAAACAATTTAAATCATTAAAATAAGACCTATGATGTGTCCCACATGCCTACACAATTTTCTTAAGTTTAAATTTAAATTGAAAAAAATCCAACTCTATTCGATAACCAATAGGTTAATGCCCAATGCCCCATCCCAAATATATAAAAGATTAAGGAAAAAATACATATCAGCCTATTGCTAAAAACTACTTAAAAAATTAACTAGTCTACTCTTTTCTGTATAAAAAATATATAAAAAAAAATTACACCCCAACAGATTTTCATATTTTGATAGCTATTTTTCCAACTACTCATTGATGGTTTTGAAGCCTATGTTTGGGAAGAGGATTTGTGGCTTTTTTTTTTTTTTTTTGTTAAAATAGTCATAAAAAATAAAATAAATTTTTTAGTCTAATAAAATAAAATATCATATCCAACCTATAATCATTATATTCATTTTCTCACAAAAAAATCAAAAAGTCAAAAACCCTTCCTAAACCAAACATTTTAGTCCCAGACTAAAATAACTACAAAAGTCAAAAAAGTCGAAAAGCCAAAAAGTCCACCCAATTCCCAAATCAATTATAGATTAATGAATTAAAACAGCTAAAGTTTTTAGGTACCATTTGATTTAGTTTTTAAATTAATATTTGAATCAAAATATCAAAAAATATGTTTAATTTATTAATTTTCATAACTCAATTTTAAAATTATTTTTTCCCTCTCCTCTCTCCTATCTTTTTTTATATTAATAAATCAATCAATCATTTTTTCTATCTCCTCTTTCATCTCTCATTTTATCACATTCTACACATACATTAATCAATCAAAATTTTTCTCACTCATCTATTTAACTACAAAAAAATAAATAAATAAAAATTATTCTAAAATTATTTTCAAAACTCATAACTAAACAAATTTTTAATTTTCAAAACTCTTTTCAACGACTTATTTTTCAAAATATAATTCAAAATTCAAAACTCATTTCAAAAACTAAACCAAACGGACTCCTTCTTAGTCACTTCACCTTTTACTATTTTCACTTTTCATGATTTATTCATTTCAGAAAATTTATTCAAAATTCCCATCCTAGAAAATTGTATACCGGACTATCCTATAAATTTTCTTGCAAATTATTAAGTCTTATTGAATTTGGAAATGTATATCATGAGGTCCTTTCATTTTATTTCTTAGAGACGACAAATGTGGATATATATTTTATTTGTGCACTATTGTTTTTGAACTTTTGCTAAATGTGTCATTTTTAAAATGTGACAATGTGATCTATTGTTTTATTAAACTTTTGTTAAATGTGACATGAGATATTTGTGCATTATTGTCTTATTAAATTTTTGTCAAATGTATAATTCTTAAAGTGTGACAATATAAAACATCAGTCTAATGTGTATACTAATGTCTTATTAAACTTTTGTTGAATGTGTCATTCTTCTTAAAGTGTGACAATGTGACATTTGTGCACTATTGTCTTATTAAACTTTTGTTAAATGTGTCATTCTTAAAGTGTGACAATAGAATATGATTCTAATGTGTTTGTTATTGCCTTACTACCTTTTCAAACGTGAGTATGCTTAATTTCGAGATTTTGATGTGAGAAATGACTTATGTGGGTTCATAAGATTATTTATGAGACTACGATCCATGTGAAGGGGGCGCGTTGCGTGAGTCTCGGGATTAGTTGAGGTGCGCATAAGCTAATTTGGACACTTGTCATAAAAAATAACATATATATTTATGGAGCTAAATGGTCTATAAGTTATGGACATAAGATTTAATAAATGCCCCATTATTTTTTTTTCAAATCAGACGGACCTTTAAAGTTATATTAGAAAATATTTTAAAGATGACTTTGCATCTCTAATTCACTTTTTATAATTTTTACTTCTTTAGTAGAAATTTCACTTTTTTAATAATTTCACCTAAATATTAAGGTTGAATTTCACTATTTCAAGAGAATGAAATTTCACTAATTGAAATGATGGTATGTTTTATGATAACGATGACAATGATAATGAATGTGGTGGTAATAGCAATTGTGGCTTCATAGCGGTGGTGGTTGTGGTGACAGTGACAGTGATAGTAATGATGGTTGTAGCTATATTAGTGATGATTGTAGTGATTGTGAGGTTATAATTGACGAAGACTTAACACAGCAGTCCAAGCAGTTCAAGGCTGCAGCTACTGAGTCCAAGGCTGCATACAACAAATCAAATAGACTGCAACAGAGCACACAGTGCAAAAGAAGTGCAAGAGCAGCAGTCCATGAAAGCTGACCAAGGACAGACTTATATGAAGGTGTGTCACAAGCCATGGGCTGTGTAACATCTAAGCAGTTCACTTGTATTATATGCAGTTAGTTTGTTTGAAAGATTAGTTAGTTTGTTAGATGGCTAGTTACAGATCTGTGAATTTATATAATGTAATAGTTAGGTCAATAAATGAATAAGATTCAGTCTTTCTTCATGGTGTATGTTGATACTTGTGTATAAATATTTATAAATTCAATTAGCATTAAATAATTATGTAATTTTATGTGAGAAATTCGTCGTAATTTAAATGACTTTTATCCTACA